TTGCTATTTTGCTCTGTGGTTTGATGCTATACACAATATTATTCACATCTAATTTGAAATCATTTAAATACTAATTTAATTCAACAAGAGATTGCAATTTTTTTATAATGTTTTCATTTTATAATGTTTTTATATTATAATGTTAATACATTATAATATGACATTAGCAATGATAAAACATAATATTATAAATTAATTTAATAACTTTTAATTTATTTTTACCTTTTTACCTCTTATCATTATACATAATATTTAATTATCATATGGAATTTATAGTATTATTGATGTTATTTTCAATAGTTTGGTGCGAGGTATACCTAATGCATTAATAAATGTAAATGGCAATCAAATACTCCAACTCATAAAATATTATATTTGAAATATTATTCACGAATCAGTTTGATAGCATCTTTATCATTTCATGCCTATAGTATTTTTGCACTAATTTATTTATTTGTAATCATATTGAATTTAAAAGATTAGAGTTGCACAAAGCATATAAATTGGAAGAGATGGCCAAAAACAATCCCAAATGATATATAATAAAAAATTAAATCACATTTATAAGAAGTTCAAGAAACAGTTTGATAGAAGCTATATTTATTTCATATACTTAGTATTTTTGCACTAAGTGATTTTTTTCTGTTGTAGAAAATTCATAGTGCTATAATTAAAGTAGTATTGGTGAACAGTTGCCAAATACGTTCATAATTCTATAATAAGAAAATTAGGATAATATTTACTCAGGGTCAGTTTGATATCAGCTACAATCATTCCAAGTCTGTAGTAATTTTGAACTGATTAATGTATTTGCAATTTAGAGCACAAAATGTATCAATTTTAACCATAAAACTATAGAAAAATATAAAACATCAAACATAATTAACAATGAAAAAAACAATTAATCCTTTCACTTTAACCTACTATGTTTTCAAGGACACGTATCAAAGTTTAGGAAAATATCTTATTAACATATTTCTATAGTTAGGAATTGATATGAAATTTTACTGAACATAGTTCGACATTTGTTTGTTTGATACGCATTATGTGTTGTGATGTAGTGTTGTTTAGACCAGTGATTTCTAAAGTCCATGGCAACTTTCAAGGGGTCCACGGCAGGGAAACAAAATTTGGGGTTCATACATATGAATGGTAAAGTATATTAACAATGTGTGTCAAGTTGCATCAAAATCGCAACATGCATTTTTGAAAACGTACTATCTTTTCAATACTAGTATTGAGAGCGGAGCCAGCCATCGATCAACCTGGCATATCTCAAAAACTATTGACCGATTTAACTTTAAATTTCTGTCATAGATTTAGTAAAGTGTAATGACAATGTATGGCAAGTTTCATCAAAATCGAATTATGCATTTTTGAAAACGTACAATCTTTTACAACACTAGTATTGAGAGCGGAGCCAGCCATCGATCAACCTTGCATATCTCAAAAACTATTGAACGATTCAACTTTAAATTTTTGTCATAAATTTAGTAAAGTATAGTAACAATGTATGTCGAGTTTCATCAAAATCGAGTTATGCATTTTTGAAAACGTACAATCTTTTACAATACTAGTATTGAGAGCGGAGCCAGCCATCGATCAACCTTGCATATCTCAAAAACTATTGAACGATTCAACTTTAAATTTCTGTCATAAATTTAGTAAAGTGTAGTAACAATGTATGTCAAGTTTCATCAAAATCGAATTATGCATTTTTGAAAACGTACAATCTTTTACAATACTAGTATTGAGAGCGGAGCCAGCCATCGATCAACCTTGCATATCTCAAAAACTATTGAACGATTCAACTTTAAATTTCTGTCATAAATTTAGTAAAGTGTAGTAACAATGTATGTCAAGTTTCATCAAAATCGAATTATGCATTTTTGAAAACGTACAATCTTTTACAATACTAGTATTGAGAGCGGAACCAGCCATCGATCAACCTTGCATATCTCAAAAACTATTGAACGATTCAACTTTAAATTTCTGTCATAAATTTAGTAAAGTGTAGTAACAATGTATGTCAAGTTTCATCAAAATCGAATTATGCATTATTGAAAACGTACAATCTTTTACAATACTAGTATTGAGAGCGGAGCCAGCCATCGATCAACCTTGCATATCTCAAAAACTATTGAACGATTCAACTTTAAATTTCTGTCATAAATTTAGTAAAGTGTAGTAATAATGTATGTCGAGTTTCATCAAAATCGAGTTATGCATTTTTGAAAACGTACAATCTTTTACAATACTAGTATTGAGAGCGGAGCCAGCCATCGATCAACCTTGCATATCTCAAAAACTATTGAACGATTCAACTTTAAATTTTTGTCATAAATTTAGTAAAGTATAGTAATAATGTATGTCGAGTTTCATCAAAATCGAGTTATGCATTTTTGAAAACGTACAATCTTTTACAATACTAGTATTGAGAGCGGAGCCAGCCATCGATCAACCTTGCATATCTCAAAAACTATTGAACGATTCAACTTTAAATTTCTGTCATAAATTTAGTAAAGTGTAGTAACAATGTATGTCAAGTTTCATCAAAATCGAATTATGCATTTTTGAAAACGTACAATCTTTTACAATACTAGTATTGAGAGCGGAGTCAGCCATCGATCAACCTTGCATATCTCAAAAACTATTGAACGATTCAACTTTAAATTTCTGTCATAAATTTAGTAAAGTATAGTAACAATGTATGTCAAGTTTCATCAAAATCGAATTATGCATTTTTGAAAACGTACAATCTTTTACAATACTAGTATTGAGAGCGGAGCCAGCCATCGATCAACCTTGCATATCTCAAAAACTATTGAACGATTCAACTTTAAATTTCTGTCATAAATTTAGTAAAGTGTAGTAATAATGTATGTCAAGTTTCATCAAAATCGAGTTATGCATTTTTGAAAACGTACAATCTTTTACAATACTAGTATTGAGAGCGGAGCCAGCCATCGATCAACCTTGCATATCTCAAAACTATTGAACGATTCAACTTTAAATTTCTGTCATAATTTAGTAAAGTGTAGTAACAATGTATGTCAAGTTTCATCAAAATCGAATTATGCATTTTTGAAGACGCACATTATGTTTCAATACTAGTATTGAAAACGGAGCCAGCCACCCATCAACCTCGCATATTTCAAAAACTAATGAATGTTCCAACTTTAAATTTTGGTCACAATATTGGTGAAGTACAGTAACAATGTGTGTCAAGATTCATCAAAATCAAATTATGCATTTTTGAGAACATATTATCTGAGGATGGTTGGAGGAAAAGTTCAACCATGAATTCAAAGCAATTTTGTGGGTTGATTAATCATAAAAAACATCGCAAGTTAAAGTAAAAATATTAATCCAAATTAAGACATTTATTAATTGAGGTCATAATAATAATAAAAAAGATGTTAACAAGGTGTGTTGTGATCCAATACATGGAGCTCCATAATTCATTTTCATTGACATGGACTCTTGGAAAGTTGTCATGGTCTCGTAGGTACTGGGACTGGGACCACTTTGGGAATCACTGGTTTAGAGAGTATAATTACTGGAAATCAAATTGAACCTTTGTGCCCCCTTATTCGACTATAAACTTTATCTTTAACAGAAGTAACAGAAGTTTTCTACAAAAAAAATATTCTTGTTCTAGTTGCCAAGTACAGTCATTATGTTACAATAAGACATTTTTTACCTCATTTCTCTAATTGATTTTCTCAATTTCTCTGCAGGAGACACACTCTCAACGTGGTTCGCACTAGATTACTTCGCTGACTTCCTGTATCTCTTGGACATTATGATTCATTTCCGGACTGGCTACTTAGAGGACGGCGTCCTTCAGACGGACGCGGTCAAATTGAGGCATCATTACATGAATTCAACGACATTCTACATAGACTGCTTATGTCTTCTACCATTGGACTTTCTATATTTATCCATAGGATTCAATTCAATACTCAGGTCGTTTCGTCTAGTCAAAATTTATCAGTTCTGGGCCTTCATGGACAGAACAGAAAGGCATACGAACTATCCAAATTTATTCAGATCGCTGAGTCTTATTCATTACTTGTTAGTGATATTTCATTGGAATGGCTGTTTATATCATATAATAGCAAAAAATAATGGTTTTGGTAGTAAAAATTGGGTCTTTCATGACTCGGAGAGTTCTGACGTTGTGAAGCAATACTTGCAGAGTTATTACTGGTGCACGTTGGCGCTCACCACGATAGGTAATAATAATTTACATTTTTTTATTCATAAATATCAATGTATAATGCTTTCTTACTTACAATCATTTTTTTAGGTGATTTGCCAAGGCCTCGTAGTAAAAGTGAATACATTTTTGTAATTGCTCAATTATTATTCGGTTTACTATTATTTGCCACAGTACTTGGACATGTGGCGAACATTGTCACATCGGTTAGTACAGCGAGGAAGGAGTTTCAGGGTAAGTGCAAAAAATTAATTTATATCTAAATATTTGAAAATTATCTAAACCGTTGCAATATCTATATCTAACCTATCTAAGTAAAGTTGGTGAATATAAATATCTCATGCAAGGCAAGATATAAATAATATTATGTTTTATATGTGTTTGCATCCAAATGTGCATATATCTGCGCATTGCGGACGTCATATTTTCGATACGATTTAGTGTCGTAATAAAATCTTATCCATTCGACCGCAAACGGACCCTACTATATTAAAAACTGTCTGACATCGGCAAAATAAGATTTAATACCACATCAAATTCCCGCTTTGCCTCAAAAGTTAGAGAAGCGTGTAATAATTTAGCCAGTCAGATTGCAACCGAATATTTTCAACCCTAAAACCTCATATTTTATTCAGATTATATTATATAATTCTTTGAATTTTTGAATTCGAGAGCATAATCGCATCACAACTTCCATTCATTTAAGTTATATCAAAAACTACCTACGTGGCCATTAAATTTCGAATTACTGTAATTCTATAAATTTGGTTTAGTTTAGTTTTGCCTGGGTTAGTTTATAGTGCCTCCCGTAACTTTTTCTTGCTATGCGAATATAGGTGTGTTATTTTATTGCCAGAATTTATATGCTGCGTTAAAATTTAGTGTCGAATTACTTTTCCAATACGTGAGAGGAAAAATTGAATATCATGCAGTGTGGGATTGTTCATCTATATACTAGAATATAAACTAGTAGATATATACACTTTGTCGATATGTTTTTATTCCTAGAATCAATTAAAATCTACTAAATATTGCTAGAACTAATATTTAAAAATTATTGTTATTTTTTAATTCATGACAAAAGTTTACAAAATCACTTATGAATGCGTACATTTACACTCAACGATATTTAAAATCTGCGCCTGCTACTTGGCTGGTTTATGCTCTCAGGGTGGCTCATGGTTTATTCGTTTTTTATAATAATGACTTGCATATTTCAGAAATTTTCATAATTTTTAATTTCGACTTTATATTATCCATAATAATACTTCATATTTTTAATAAAACTTTAGCACCTATAAAAATCTGCAAATGCCTTCAGAGCAAAACACCATATAAACTCAACTCTGCCATTGTCTTTATTGCAATAACAACAAAAGTGACACTTGAATTTCATGTTTATCGTCAAGCGGACATCATTCTACGACATGTTTTATATTAAAAAATAACATTACGAGTTGTAATATAATAAAGGTTATGAATATAATTTTATGAGCAGATCAACTTCTCGAAGACGTCGGATTTTAAGTAGATATGAAATAGTTTCATGTGCCGGTAACTTGGAATTGCATTTTTATGTTTAGTGTTATTGTATTTATGTACTTTATTGAAATTTAGCAAAACATTACTTTTGTTGTTTAATCTACACTATAGCCGTTTGGAACAGTTCATTAAATTAAATTAACAGTTATGAAAATTGGTAGCAGAATATCAATATTGTTGACGAATATAAAGTATAGCATTTTTATATAAATATATTACTAATTTAAGTATTATATAATTAATATTATATTAAATGTTTCAAATATGGTTAAGTTTTGCAGTCTTTTCATTTAATCCGTTTTTTCTAGCTTAATATTTTGCGGAATGCCATATAGTTGCCCTGGAACTAAAAATTGTATATAGATATAAAAAATAACAAAGTTAAAGATAATAATTTAGCCTAATAATTTAGCTTGAAATATAATTTTTATATTTTTTGGAGTATGAGATTTAGCATATTTTTCATAATTTAAAACACTTCTAAATTGCACATACAAGTACGAAAATTTATCAAAATGGAAATGTAATATTATTAATGCAACAACTGCATTCAAATAGATTGCGTACAGCAATAACGCATCAGAATATTTGCATTATTCAACATGGAATTTGAACGATTTTTTGCTATAAAGTACTCAAACAAAAGATCAACTCCGAATATTTTAATTGTCCAATTTTTATTGTCTATCATCGATTTGAGGGGAGAGTATTTTGGTCTAGAGGCATGAGTTTTATGCGATGTTAGATATAATCTATTTTTTTTCTTACTATATTTTTTACAAGTTATTAATGTTTTGAGAATATAAAAAATCTATAAAAATATAAATAGTTGTAAATTTTCAATGCTAGAAGGTAAGCAAGTAGATGATATAAAAAAATTAATGTTCCTTATTATACCCATAACTTTAGCCGAAGAAGAAAAAATATATGCAGTATTATTCTAGAATAATGTCGCTATGGTATGAACTAAGGTCAAGATAAATTAATTGTTTTGTTAAATAAAATATTTTATCTACAATTTTTTTAATATTATTGAATTTTTTAAAAGTAAAAATCGAATTTTGTAAAGTAAAAATCGGAATTTGCGAATTGGCGCAGCTCACTATAACTAAATTGGTCCAGTAGTAGTTGAGAAATCGTGGCTATCGAGAAAGTCAGTTTTGAGAAAAAAGCGTTTAAAATTTCATTCAAATTCAATAGTCACTCAGCTTTCTAAGACGCAAATTTCAAGAACACTGAAAAAGAAGCTTTCCAAAGATAATTTTGAAGACCTTTAGCACTACCACATCTTTGTAGAAATGAACAGAAAAGGCAAATCACTCATTGAAGTGATTCTCCAACTATTGATACTGCAAAATTTATCACAATAATTTGTGTGTTTGAATGTGTGTGCATAAGTGTGATTGAATAGTATAATTCAAATAACTCATAGAATTTTAATATATTCTAATTGAAAAAAATGCGCAGGAAGGAAACCAAAAACAATTTGAATTATGAAATATCCTTATGTACACATATTCTTGAAAAGTAACATTTAGAAAATATAAAAAAAATACTTTTTTTTAAATTTTAGATAATACCCCCTTAAATTAATTAACTTTAATGGTTATTAGTAAGGTATGACACAGAGCAAGATAACAATTATCATAAATTATTTACTATCTAGAAAATATAACGTACTTCTATTTCTTAATTAAACTATTTCACAGTAAAATACAAAGCTGTTTCTCTTCACTTCTGCTGATTTTGCGTTCTTTCCAAATTGATATCTAATATATCAGTTGCTGTTAAATTAGTCGACCCAGCAAATCCACCAATAATGCAACTCTGCCGACCAGCTTATAATTTAGATTTGCTCGTTCCACTTCCTAACCCTTCGCTATCCTACTAAGGGTATACCACTTTACAATATCTTGGCTCAATCTATACAGATTTTCGTCGATAAAACCCGGTGAACCGTTGAACACCCCATATTCTATCCCGCACATGAGTCAGCATGACGACGTATCGTCCGCTGCGTCGCGGTGGAGACGACGTCGCGTCGCTTTTGAATCGCCGCCGTCGACGATCGAAACACGATTCATCAGTGTCACCAACCTGCCAATCCCGTTTCCATCTCCCACAAAGGAATACGATGCAAGAGCTTTTTGCACGGCGAGCTTTGTGGCGGTGCTTCATGCTTGCCACGTACGCGTGTTAGCTTATTGTATATAATTCATCTGCCGTAGCTTTAATTAATAATTAATAATGTCTGGTAATTTCTACCAAAAAATAGATTAGTCGAAATGGTATATCTAACGAGGAGAAACCGCGCAAACTCGTCTGAGATTTTGATAAAATTTGGCATAATGGTAGATTTTATGCCCAAACTGACCGTGATAAAATATTAGAGGCCTATGAAGAGCGGTCTAATTATAAAAATTAAATAAAATTTGCATTTTAGTAGTGCGCGCTATAGATAGCCTGCAATGTATTCTTTTATCAATTGAATCATAGCCGAGTGTTAAAGTGACTGAAATCCAATTTTTGCATCTGTGGTTCGAAATTCAAATTCCGCTTATATTATTTTTATATCATTTTTATAATTACTTGAGTAAATAAAATTAAAGTACGATGCAGGAGCTTTTTGCACGGCGAGCTTTCTGGCGGTGCATCACGATTGACACGTACACATTATTGTATATATCTCAGCTATTGCCTTAATTATTAATTAATAAGCCCTGCAAATTTCTATCAAGAAATAAATTACTTCAAATAGCATATATTAAAGGTCTCTCAGGCATATAGAAAGTATATAAATTTACCTCATGGACTACAAAGGTTTAATTTGACTTTGAACAATTATGCAGTGAGTATCAAACCAATTATATCACAACAAATTATACATATCAAATAAATAACTAACTGACTATGTTCAATAAAACTCCCCGCTAAGTCATCATTATAAAAATGTGTTTTTTGCCGTTTTTAAAAAAACAGTTGTCTCCCGGTGTTTTTTTACCCCATAGGCGAAAAGTGGGACGGAGGGCGAACAGATCTCAAATCTTACTTTTAATTTTACAGGATTTTTAGGAAATAACAGCTACATGCAACCAATGCAAAATTAGAATTCGACGCATTTTTTACAAAGATAACACTGTGTATAACCTTGATCTGGTATTTTGTCAGAAATATTCAACAGCAGAGGTGAAATAACTATTTATTTAATTTATATCTTGTAAAATGTCTCCTTCTGCCTTACTTTAATTGCCCCTGGCAATAGATTCGGCTGGTCCTTTTGACCCCACCCACATGCAAGTTTTCACAGGGGATATATAAAAAAACTGTAGAATATAACAAAACAATTGAAAATAATCTTAAAGTTACAAAACAATTGAAAATAATCTTAAAGTTAGGTAAACTAAACAACAGTGCTTACAAACAAAAAACAATAGAAAATACTTTTGTTATGGATTTTTTAAACATTGCCGTTTATCTTCCGATAGAGACGTCGTAGAAAGCAAGGTGATGGCTTAATACACATTTTTTCCTCTACTTTCAAATATTATTATTAAAAATTAATTAATTAATTTTACTTGTTTTTGAGATATCGGTAATGGACCTTTTGACCCGTCGACTTTTAAACCTTGCTCTACTCTAAATTGCTGTCTATTTATACAGATTTTTGACTTTATTTATGAATATACTAAATT